CCTCCCACGCTTCCGTGGTGCGAGGACACTGGCCCCGCCTCCCACACCCACCCGCAGACGCGGCTCTGGGGATTCCCGCCTGCACCGCCAGGCCAGGAGGAGCTTTCGAGCGGCTGAGTGCGTGGGGTTGGGTTCCGAAGAGACGAGAAGGAGAGAAAAGGGAATAATGTCTTTTTATGGAAGCTACACACTCCAGGGGAAGGTTTGGCTTTGCAAGGCAGATGGAGGCTTGAAATTCACCCTGAAACTACCACCTAAGAGACACTTTGCAAAACGTGAACTCTTTTCTTTTGTATTCCGTTTTCTCCATAGGTAAAGTCATCTGATTTTCAAGGACACTCTGTAAGAAGTATTTAAGGAATGCACAAACCCGCACCACAACCCTGATCTATTAAACTTTGATTATGAGCAGCTACTTAGTTGGCTAAACAATGAACTAGAAGAGTGTGCGCCTGCCTGCAGACAGCCAGAAGCAGAAATGCGGAGAATATGTACTCGTAGGTGAAAGAGCCAATCTGTAACTATATACACATAGTCCTATCTATCCATCCATCCATCTGTCATCTGCAAAAATGACACAGTGTTTAGACGTATGAAAGTACTGGATCAGCACAGCACTTCTACGAGGTAGGTACCCTAATTTCTGTGTGACAGCCAGGGAACAGAACACAAAGAAACACACATGCTCAGGTGCGTCTGCCACAAGGGGCGGCTGTGAACCAAGGAGGAGCAGGTCCTCTGTCCAGTCGAACGTCAGGGAAACCACTGTGTCATCTGCTGACAGGCAGACCTCTGGGGTCAGCTCGGTCCACGAAGGGTCTGAGCAAGGTGCCCCGCGCACCTGCTGGACAGCCGTCGAGGGCCGTGCGACCAGAAACCAGAGATTCAGTGTAAGTGTAACATCAGGTTCTGCTAAGAAGCTCACACCAGTCACGCACAGGAGCCAGCCCAGAGCCGGGACTCATTCCAGCTGGTCGGTCTTCATCCAGCCCCTCCCGCCACAGGCTGACTCACAAGCCCACCTGTGCACTTCTGTTCTGTGCCCGCTTCCCTGGGATCCTGACACTCGGTTAACCACTGACCAGGGACTAATGGACCTTCCCTGCTTTCCTGAGACTTAGGACTCCTGGCTGAGAGGAGTAGTAAGGAAGCTAAGAAAGCTTTATAACATTGTATCCATAGGATGAAACACCTAAAACTAACTATTCCTTTAAATGCTGAACATTGTTTTCCTTCCCATATCAAGTCTGCAAAATCCAAGTGCTTAATTAAGGAAAGATCCAGTCGGAGGTGACTGGGAGACCATGGATTCATCTTAAATGAACGTATCAGAAACAATATTTTAAAACCAGTCATTTTCAAGCAGTCCCCAAACCATGTCGTCATTTCTCCCCTGCGCACAGCGGAAGCAAATTTGTTCCAGAAGCAGAAGTGTCCTTGCCACGTGAGGCAGAAACGGTCTCCACGGTGACCCCCCAACAGTGTGGTTTACAGAAGACAATGGGAATTAAGAACAGAGGCAGAGGGGCGCCTGGGGGGCTCAGCTGGTGAGACGTCCGACTTCGGCTCAGGTCATGATTTCACAGTTCGTGGATTCGAACCCGCATCGGGTTCTGTGCTGACAGCTCAGAGACGGGAGCCTGCTTTGGATTCTGTGTCTCCCTCTCTATGCCCCTCCCCTGCTCGTGCTCTGTCTCTCTCTCAAAAATAAACATAAATAAAATAAAATAAATTAAAAAATAGAGGTAGAAAACCCAGGAGAAATCAAATCAATTTGGGAAACCTATTTGACCACCTTCCACAATGTGGCTGTCCTCTGTCACTGGTCTTCCTCAAGGATGCATGTGGGAACGCAGTCCCTTTCTAGGGAAACTGCACTCACACGTTGACAGGCTAACCCTCTCCAGACTGATTAGATCATAACCACGTAGGTGCCCTGGGGCTCCCAGTGAGTGCTCTAAAGCAGCAGGAAGAATAATTAATCCCACAACTGGATCTTAATACAGAAGTCAAAACAGCCCCATTTTTTTTACACAAGTGGTGGTAAGATAGTCAATGCTTTCAAAGCTCTCCTGTGTCACCCGCACCCCGCTGGGACCCCCAGTCACCCAGGTGCTGTGGGACAGAGGACAGCAGCCTGCCGAGCCTGAACATCCTCGCCGCCCTCAGCGCCTCACGGGCCCCTGGGCAGGCTGGCTTTCCCACACCCACTGAGCACAGGGACTGAGGTCACAGAGCCTGCCCAGGTGTGAACCCTCATCACTTGGACCCCAGAACCTCTTGGTCACCATCAGCTGCAGCACAAGGCATGTCTGTTACGTGTTGATGAAGGTCAGAAGTAAGGCTAGAGAGTTCAAGCCACAGGATAGCTTCTCTAGGGAATATTCAGGGTTGATGGGGTTTGAATAGGACTGGACTTTAACGTACAAGAACTTCACAGCCAGGGTTTGGCGTGGGGACTGGAGGCCCCGGGGGCACGGCTCACAGCACAGGAGACCCGGCGCCGAGGGGCAGGAACCTAACAGGCGACGGGGAGGCGCCAGGGAGGTTTTCTGCTTCGGAGAAGCAGGGCACGGGCAGCACCTGACCCGCCCAGCCTGGCTGGAAGGTCAATTACAGATGGTGGGGAGTCAGCCTCGGGAAGAGGCAGCCAAGGCTCCTGGCAGCTCACCCTGAGGAAGTACCTGCAGAGAAGCTTCGGGGAAGCACCTCGTCACAGGAGCGGCTCCGTCACGTTCCGGGGCCTCTTGGCTTTGGTTTCTGGAAGTCAAACACGGAAATAGGGGCAGGGGAGCTAAGTGCAGCACAAAACTTTTGGTGTCTGAAGACCTCCCTCAGCTCTGGGTCACCTGTGTCCCCGGACGGCAGGGGAGAGAAGGGAGAAGGTGGGACAGCGTCGCGGGCGGGCGGCCAAACCAGAGCAACACGCGTGCGGCCCGGGCAGAGCCCATGCAGGCGCGTCTGGGGCATCCTGGGCCGGGGCAGCTTGCTGCGCGCCCCTGACGTGAATCCACGTGACCACGGACCACGGTGATCAGCAACATTACCCACAGTTCTCTTTAGTAACATGGGACTCACAGCAGGTTTACAAGTATGTTTCCTTCACTTTCAGATGAAAAAGTACCTGAGATTATAGGTTAGGACAGAAGTGGCACTCAAGAGGCTGTCGGACTCCGGGATCAGAGAATGAGCAGTCGCCGCGGAACGCTTACTGCATTTGAGGCACCGGACCCCTCCCTGGAGTGCTTGCTGCCCTCGGCCACACCCCCGCTCCTGAGTCCACCTCGAGGTTGCTGTGTGGCATGTGTTCTCCACGGGAAGATGTGCCGAGGACCTCGGAAGGGAAGGTCACAGGCGCCGCAGGGAAGAATGCCTACGATTTCCGTTCTTCTCCGGGAAAGAGCACTCAGTCCCTGAGTCTGACCACCCCTGATACTCTGGGACACGTGTGACACAAAACGACAGACTCTGCTCTGATGGGTCTGTAACTGTGGCCTACGCTCCTAGGGGAAAGGGTCGCGGTTTTACCCAGGCGTTTTCTCCCCACACGTTTTGAGCATCAGGCCACACACAGAATGGTGTGTTACTCAAATAGGGATTCGTGGACGAACCACTGCTCCCGTTTTGAAGGTATAAAAGGTGAAATATCATAATATTTTTCCAAGTTACTTTTCTAGCAGGTAAAGTTGATTTGTCCTAAATTCCAGAAGTTACTATGTGGAAATGTGTGTATGCCCCTGGAAGGAGTTGGGTGAACGCTTCGGAGCCAAGCTTCTGAACCAGACGGGACGCTCCACATGGGACTTGGCAGCAGGGAAGCTGGCTCAGGGCAATGGGCGTGTGCTGGTCTTTGTCCTTGGCCTCCCGGGGCGGCCTCCACCAAAGGGCTCTAACCTTGATGCCCCTAGAACAGAAGGGTCTAGAACGAGGGCCCCGACACCAGATGGGCAGCCTCCAGGCGAGACGTGGTTTGGTGAACACAGGCGGTGTCTCTCAACCTCAGCATGTTGTGATCGTTTATGGGGGGCTGGTCTGTGCCCAACAGGATAGTTCTGCCTGTGTCCCCAAGCTCCATCCCCCGGATGCCAGCCATACTGCTCCCCAGACGGTGCTCATCAGACACGGCCCAACATCCACGGGCACAAGGCCCGTTGGGAATGCCCGGGAGAGTCGGGGTGGTACGGCCCAGGCTGGCGGGCGCCGGCACGGCCCACTCCACAGTCTCCACAAGCCCGCCCCCAACACACTCCCAGGAGGACCCCACGTCCCAGGAACACGCCCACCACCAGCTGTGACCGTAAACTCCATTCTTCCCGCCGTCAGCAGCCGGCAGGCGAGGGAGGGAGACACAGCCTCCAGCCTTCACCGCGCACCCATGGGGGCATCGGGCTTCGCGCCCCCACTGCCAGTAAGTTATGCGTCACACCTGCCTGAGGTTTACTCCCATTTGTCCCATCAAACAAAAAAGAAGGCGACAATGTGATCAAGAGCCTGTAGAAAAGTCGCCCCTCGGGCTTCTCGGCACACCCTCCCGGTTGGGGAGGAAATTCCGGGGAAGGTCCTCACCTGGCTTCCACACCCCGCCCCTCCCAGCCTGAGGCAAACTTAGAAACGACCCCTTTTCACTTCTGCTCAAGGCCGCCTGGGAAGGTGCACGGACGGTAACTTCAGTCCTATTTTAATTTTCCACAGAAATATCTTTACAAAAAATTTCAATTCACATAAAGAAACGTGGGTAGAGTGCTGGAAAGCTGAAAAGGTGTGATGTGGTGCCCGGCCGGCCGGTCAAGGGAGCGCGGCATGTGCGGTCACCGCCCCACGACCCCACTGCGGACTGTCGGGCCCGGGCACAAGGTGGCCCGCCCCGTGGGAAGAGAGCACAGCAGAGGGGTGCCGCGGCCCGGGCGGCCCAGCTCGCCGGCTTGGCGCGGGGCTCCTTCTCCCTCTTCACAGCCCTGCACGCGGGGCCATCAAGACACAAAACCGCGAGCGCATTGTACCTGTCGTGCCTCAGAGCTCGCATGTCGACGTAGACGGTGGTCGGGTCGGGTCCTGAGGTCCCCTGCAAGCAAGGACACAGTGCGGTTAGGTCCAGTTTGTGTGGGAGCAGCTGGGGCCGTGCTTCCTACTGGATAGCGAGCACTTCTTTGCGAAAATCTCAAACTGAAAGCGCTAAACCCACACTTCCCTCCAAGATACTTGCTAACTTCCAGCTTGATAACCTCAGTTCTGAAAGGACCATCTTACTAGGATTATGCTGGACTATCAATCACGTTTACAAAAATACGAAGAAAAGACGTGCCGCAGGCCTTGCCCAGTGGAAAACGGCTGGAACTGCCAAGACGTCTGGCTAGCGGGCTGTCGGGGACACGAAGCCTCATTCGCTGAGAAGTCCCTACCACACGCATCCCGAGAGGTGGGTTTTTAGAGGTCAAGATGTTGAAGCAGAACACAGGACATGAACTCACAGCTCGAGAAGGAAGAAATCAAAGATAATTATCTTGATAATGAGCTCTGCTTGTGCCTCGGCCCTTCTCCAGCAGAGGGAGGTAATCTTCGTGTGTGACGTAGGTCAGGGGGGCCGTGTGTTTGTCAACAGCACGGGGAGCCCGGGCGCACTCTGACTGCACTAACACTGGGGCCGGGGGCGGGGGCGTCCACAAATCTTGCCTCAGCATCACGAATCCCTCCCAGACACGCTGGGTTAACTTCTCACCAGCGATTTCTACGTAAGAGCAATGTAATTAAAGCTACATTACAAACCAGAATTCTACGTCTGTTTCTTGGGAAGGCAACGCAGTACCTGGGGTAGAAAAAGCTGGAGCCCAAAGCAGCTTTCCAAAAAGTGAGGCAGCCCCTCCCAATTTATTTGAAGAAGCTAAAATTCTTCAGCAGCAAATCTTAACCTTGTGCCACACAAGAATAAGATAAAGACACCTCCGTGCAAACATGCTGCCCCCTCCCTCCTCCTGGGCACTGGCCTCTCCCCACGCAGGCGGGCAGGGCGCGCAGCAGGCGTCTGTGCAGGGCTTGTGCCCGGTGCCCGGTGCGATGCAGGCCGAGGAACCCAGTGGAGCCGGGTTACGGACCAGCGCCGGGTGGGGACGGGCTCTGCCGTTCTGGGTGCTGCAGAACACATCCCCACAGGCCGCCAGTTTGGAAGTCAACAGGTTGGAAAACGGGCCACTAAACACGGGAAGTGAAGCAAAACGGACAGGGCCCCGAACCGGCAGGGAAACCACTGACTGTGTACACGGAAGTGTCTGTCGCGAGCGCGACGCTCGAGGTCGGGGCGAGCAGGTGGTGCCGGGTGCCAGTCCTCCGCCCGCGGCCCGCACACCCCGGCCAGGCTCCGCACTCCACTTCCAGTCTGTCCCACTGCTGGAAGCTGACGAGACGGCGGGAGGGGGCACTGTGTGGACGCACAGGGAGGGCCCCTACCTGCTCGGCCGCCTTCCACAGCCTGTGGGGCTACAGCAGCGGGGCGGGAACAAGAAGAAAGGAGAGAACACGCCACACCAACGGGACCACAGGAAAGCAACACACAGACACGCAAACACAGCAACCCAACAATTAAAATGGGATGAGGAAGGGGAGGGGTGGGGAGGAGAATGCAAAAAGCAGGGAACAAAGTAAAAAGAAGATCAAAAACAATGTCAAATATGGAAACTGTTAAAATCAATCACTGTACCATTAAAGGCTAAAAAATAAAAAAAGAAAAGAAAAAAAATCTTAGATGTCAACATACCCACAGAGCAACAGAAGAGAGCCACAAATGACTGATCACGGACACACAGATCCGAGTAATTTCTTTCATAGATGAGGTCGATGATATTACCAGGTAGTTTAATTTTATCGCGCTCTACGTTTCTTTTCTTTTCTGAGGCAACTGGGAATATGAATCTTACTGGCCAAATCTGTTGAACGTTCCTTTGTTGAAATATGGTTGCCCCTTGAACAGCAGGGGTTTAAACTAAGTGGGGCGGCTTCCATATGAGCTGCTTCCAAGAAATACGGGGCAGTGCTGCTAATGTATTTCCCTTCCCCTTATGATTTTCTTAATAGCACTTTTGTTTCTCTGGCTTGCTTTACTGCAAGAATACAGTGTATAATAGACATGACACACGAAATAGGTGTTCATCGGCTGTCGATGGTGTCACCAAGGCTTCTGGTCAACAGAAGGCTATTAGTAGTTGAATTTTGGGGGAGTCAGAAGTTCTGTGTGGATTTTGCACCGTAAGGGGGTGGGGGTTGGCGCTCCTAAGCCCCCATGTTGTTCAGGGTCAACTGCAGTTCCAAGTCTCCTAAAACGATCATGAAGCAGAGCCCGGATGCTTTTACATCTAAAATCAGGGTGCCCAGCCCTGCTCATCCACAAGATGGGAGAGGCCAAAGTACAGCTGAAGCGTGAAGGAACCAAGCACTGGGCTTGCACAGGGTCCAGGTCAGCTGTCTGATAAGGGATTTCCCAGCACCCCGGGTCAACCCCTCAAAGACACTGCCTTCCATTTTCTCTCACCTTCCGTGGTTTTGATGCCCACCTCCACCACTTTTAAATGACCGACATCAGCAGGACAGACACACTCCAGAAAGCGCCTGGAGTCAGCTCCTGTGATGTCACGTTTCCCCGGGCGACCCGGGGGCCTGTTCCAATACGCCCAGAGCGGACACCATCCCACGGGCACCGCGCTGACGCACCGTTGCTGGTGCCAGCCCCTCCCCACAACCACCACTCTGAGGCAGCAATAAAAAGCAGTCGTCAGCTGGGTCTCCTGGGCTGTGGGTGGTGGCACACAAAGTCAGACTGAAAAGCTACCACCGTTCAACATGGAGTGGAGCCTATAAAAACAGCAACGGTTCCAGACTGAGAACAAGGATTCCCTCCTCCTGTCACAGCCTTCCCAGTGTGTCCATGGCTGCTGCTTTAAGGCAGGGAGCTGACGCAGGACACGAAGAAAGAACAGGGTAGAGGTGTGTGGCGCTTCAAAGGTACACAGGACCCTTAACTGAATCTATTCAAGCCGAATGCAAGGTTTTAAATAAATCCCTTCAGGATTACCTAAATCACAAATATATGTATTTTTTATTCTCAAGTTATGAACATACAGTGTAGCCTTGGCTTTAGGAAGAGAACCTGAAGTGATCCATCTCTTACACATGACACTCAGTGCTCCTTCCCGCAAGCACTCTCCTTAATGCCCATCCCCCATGCAACCCCCCCCCACCCCCATCAGCCCGCAGCTGCTTCTCTGTATTTACGAGTCTAACCGGAGCAAAATAAGCCCATGTTCTCTCTAAATTATTTTAATTCACAGATTTTCTTGTGATGGCTCAGGTTGATATTTCAGAGAACAATACTTACGACTAGGAATGAGTTTCCCAGCTTGTGTAGGCGCAAAGGGACAACTCAGCACCGGGCGCAAAGCCACGCACCACATATACAAGGCTTACAAGGAAGGAGGGAGTAAAGGGTTAGCAGTAGGTATTTTTAAACTTCAAAAGCCCTAAGGCACAAAACCGTGAGATTTCGAGATACATACGAAGGACTGTGCATCTAACAAAATTTCCTCACTGTCACAAAATTAATTTCACTTTGCCAAAGGATGCAAGCTGGGGCTTCTTTAAATAAGGAGCCTGCTAATGCATAAAAAGGCCCTTAAGTGGTTGTTAAGATCATCAAATACTAGCAGAAAGGACCAGCAGCAAAGAAAATACACCCATTCCAGCAGAGCTTATTCAGAAATGAAGAAGCAGGTTTAAACTTCAAGTTGTATTAATCAGGAAAAAGGATTCACTCTAAAGATTCAGCTGTACAATGGACATGTGTGTGCAGACACAGTCATACTAAAATCACTTTTTCCCGTTGGTAGTTATTAGTTATGCATTAAGCACTAACTGAACAAGTGAGTTATATCTAAATGTCAGCTCTAGATACACAGACTCACATCCTAAACAAAAATCCAACAAGGAACTTACTTTGAACACTTTAGCCAGGGGGTGCTTCACTAATCAGCAACTCACAGGCTGCCGTTAGCACAATCTACCACTAGCACACAGCACCTTACAGCTGAAGTAATAAATTGCTAAGTGGAAATGTGTGAAATACAGTCATAGTTCCAAAGCACTGATGTTGGGCAGATCTGCTGTGCTGAGTGTTGGAGGAAGTTTTCCAGAAATGGAGGTCGTGGGAGGCAGCTTCCCTGGGGAGGGCTCCGGGGGGCACACAGCAGCATCGGGCACAGCACAGGGGCTCATCACTGCCACTCTGGCAGCTGGACTTGGAGCAGGGCCCTGCCTGCATGACTCCAACCAGGCTGTTTGGCCCTCTGAGCAGATCTGTGTATTAACAATGATTTCTTCAACATTTTAATTTAGGTATAATTAACATATAATGAAATACAGGTTTTTCATATTTAGTTACATGAATTCTGAAACTGTATACACCCATGTAACCATCACCTCAAGCAGCCCTCACCCCATCCCTAAAAGGCTATGGCTTTGAGGTTTCTAACACCAGAGACCTGGTGTTTAACCTGCCACTGGACTTCATACAAAGTAATACAGGGCGCATTCTTTGAGTCTCGCTTCTTTCACTGAACACGCTGATTCACGTCATCTGTACCAGCAGCTCGTCCCTCTAAGTTCTGGGAAGTGTATCCCATGAATACATCATCATGCATTTTTGCACCCTACTGCTGTTGAACATTGGGCTTTTCCAGTTTGGGGCTGTCATGAAAAAGCTTATACAAATTTATTGGTACAAATTATGTTTGTAGACGTGTTTTAATATCTTTTGGGTGCGTACGCAGACACGTGCTGGCTAACAGGGCTGAAATGCACTTAGAAGAATTGTTCAATCTGTCTCCAACGAGCAATGAATAGGGATTCTAGTTGATCTACAACTTCATCAACATTTAGTGCTGTCAGTCTTTCGGATTTTAATTATTCCAGGAGGTGAGAAATGGAATCACATTTTTTTGTACTGAAAAATCACAATTTCAGTTGAATACTGCATGTTGTGCTCTTTGTTTGAGGGAGGAAGGACTTCAGGATATGGATGCT